ACGACATAGTATTTTTGTAAATATTGTTGGATACCGCTATGCTATTCTTTACACTACAGCCTCAACGTTGAACGCAGTGTTGCGACAGCTTAGAGCTTTACTTCTATCACCTTTTGAAGTAGATTTTGTTTTAAATTAGCTTGACGCGTTTGACGTCGAATTCTAGGTTGTTACAACAAAATAGCACCGCTGTTCTATTGTTTTCCACGGCTAAATGAGATTCCAAATGGGTGATTTAAAATAAAACATGAATATTCAAAAGAGTTGTGAATAATCATGTTAGTGATTTAGCTATTTAGCAGATTTATGCAATATGTATCGGTTTACCTGTACGTATAATTGGCACTGTGCAGGTATCCGTCAAATTAGGGTTAACTTGTAAGTTAACCCTTACATATTATAGTGTGTAGGTACTGTAGTAATGGCCTGTTAAGTAAATAATTGTTTTTATTTTCTAAATGAATAGAAAGAACAACCTATAGAAGGAAAATAAATATATGAAAACTACTAAACAGTAGCAATAATTATTTTTCCAAATTGAATAATTCATGAAAAAAATGTTTTATACAGAAGTACCATAAATATAACATAAATTCAGGATTTTCAACTTTTTTGTTTAATATAAGATTAATTATTTCAAACTAACGAGGTTTTATATAAAAACATAACATTATATGAAATATGAAGTAATTATTATAATTGAGATGACATAACTTTTTAAATTTTTTCTGTAAGCACTAAATACCTTACTCGGTTTTATTTTTCATTTGATGTATTTTTTATATTTTTCTGATAATGTGAAGTCATGGGTTTGAAATCTTATATTATTTAGGTACCTACTATTTTTAAAGATTATCGTTTAATTTTAAAGTAGTGATTTAAAATGTGTCTTATTTTTCTATTTAAACTTTAATCTGCCTGATTTTGTGATACCCATACTTTTTCAAATATTGTGTTAATAAATAGGTTTATGTAATAAATTATCAGATGACCTAACATTTTTAGGATTATCTTTTTTAATATTTTATTTATTGTTTTCTTAAATAAAACATTTGTTATTATTCTTTTTACATATATTTAATTTTTCTAATTCAATATGGATATCACAAATTTTAATTTCATTTAGATTATCTAGAATATAGTTCGATATTAATTTTTAATTTATAGAGCCTGGAAAGAATCCAAAGTTTTACATAAGTTGCAGATTCTTTCTATTCTCTAATGCGCATTAGAAGCCATTCATTACTTGTTTTATTAGCTACAGTACATATGCTGATGGTCACAGTGGTTTTAATTAAGAGCTTACAAATGTTTACACCTTTAAAAAGAAACCTACCTAATATCATTACAAATTTGTAACTAATATACCTAATCCTATATCAATTTGTCCTTTTAAAAGCCTATGTTGAGTGCTTTTTTTTTCATTGCTTTTATATTTTGTTGCTGTTGTCACATTATAAAGATTCTGTACTATTAGGTATGTTATACACGCGACATATAAAAAATATATTTTTCTTAATTCAAATCCAAAAATGATTTTCGTTTATTTTATATTAGATCTTTTTTTTTTCTTAGTTTATAATTTTATAGTAAGGGATTTTAACATTCAAAGTTTTTGCTAACGATAATTATTTATACTTATTTACTTCACTCTCTTGCATATAAAAATACCTTTAACGACGGGACAAGAGTCTGTAAAGATTTTTTTCACAGTAACTACATAATTAATTATAAAATTTCCATGTTTCAAAAAACGAATCGCAGTGCCGCTAATGTATCCTTTAAGATTCTTATTTAAAACTTATCTAGATGGCGCCAGTATACTGTTAGAATCCAAAGTTGAGATTTAAAAAGGTAATAATATATTTGTGCTATAATATAAAGACTATAATTACATGGCCGTGCTCAACCTTTTAAAAAAAACTGTAGATTTAAATATTAGCATAACTCCTATGTTTTATTTTATTATATTAGTAGTACCTACTGATAAGTACTAGAAAATACATTAGTTACATAAATAAATATTAAAATCACTTACATTTGTTAGATGTTATCAAGAAGTTAAAATGCTAGCATTATTTTATTATAAAAAGATAAAACAGCTAGCACAGTCACCCAATTACTTTTCTATAATAAAACATCTCCCAATCTTTAATTACTTATATACCTATTAAACCTAAAAAATATGCTTTGACAAATTAAAAATAAATAAATGTTTTTACATAATAAAATTTTCGTTCCTTACCTGCTGAAATTTTTTTACTGTAATAAATTGTAAAAATAAACAAAAATCAATAAAATACAAATTTATTTTATATCAATGTGTATGATATTTATAAAATTATTCTCTATTTGTGTATTTTCAGTATATTACATATATTTTGATACAAATAGAAAAATATATTTCGAGAGGCTGCAATTATCAAAATATTTTTTTTTTTAATTATAGGTATTAAAGGATTTTTTTTTATTTATTAATCATAGATTATATTATAATAATTATAAATAACTTATATTAAAACAAATTAATATAATAATAGTAAATATGTCTAAATAAATATTTTTAATAATAAGTAGTGAAGTTTTAGTATTGGAAGGTTTGTGGCAGTATAAGCCACGCGGCTCACTCAATTGACGCGCATACTCCCCGCAGCGTCTGGCAACACTGATACGCACTTCCGGCGCCCTTTTTGTATTTCTACCCTCTCCACAACTCAGCGCCTATTAGGGATTAACAAAAAAATGCACTATTTTAAATAATTTTCCCGAAATAACAGCACTTTTCAAAGCATCAGTGACGCACGGCTAGAAAGTGCAAAAAAATATGTTTGGTATCTAATATTTCTTTTCCTTCATAATTATTATTGTATTTAATATATTTATCATGTTAAGGGCCTTCATAACATTTTAAATGTGTATTAAAAATTGATAAATATCTTATATTTTTAATTTTAATTGCATATTATGTACAAATCAAACAACTCATGATATTAACATTGTGTTTTATTTAAAATTAATGCGTGAAATATTACAAAAAGGATTATATTTTTTATTTACAGCTGTTATATTATATACATATACTTATAATTTTAACTTAATTTAATTATTAATTGGAAAAAATTGGGTCAATAAAATCTGTAACACACAATTAACTGTGTTTGATGTTTCAAAATGGAGATTTATGTAGATAATTCAGCTTTTATAGTTTTTATATTATAAATTAACAAAGTAATAATTTTCAGAATAAAAATAAATATAATAATATATATAAATATATATATAATGTGATTATAGATATTATACAAAATATTTAACTTCTCAACATTTACAAAATATAATTTTAATACTTTTTATAAGTTTATAATAATATTAATTTATATTATTATTCATTTCAGTATGTGCCTAAGGCAATCATTTACATCTAAATATTTTATTGTGCATAATATAATTAATATGTTGTTATTAAATATATTTATATAGATCATCATAATTCACCAGTTTAAAAGAAAATATATATGTAGAAGGTATCTAAAGTTACATACATATCTGGTAATCATTCAATTTTATTATTGCCTGTTTTGTTTATTGCCCATTTATAACACTTATTGTAATATTATGCCTTTTATTTTTTTACATATAATATAAAATAATAATTAATATTTATAATATTTAAATAACCTTATCAATGATGAACATTACATTTTTGTGAAAATAATATTTAATTGCACAAGGTTTATATACGTACCTATCTATCAAATTAATTGTTAGTATATATAATTTATATACCTGTTTATTAAATGTCTAATTACCTTGTTATTTTAAATACTTAAAGTACTAAATTGAGTAGAAAATTTATAAAAACCTTCTTAAAAACTCCTTACAATTTTGTACACATTTTTCTATATTGATATGTTCTTTTGCAACTTTTTATATTATTATTTGTATACATTTTGATAATAAATAATCACAAACAATCACTTTAAAATATTAAGAAAGAGAAAGGCAACCGGTATTCTGAATATCAATTTGTTGGAATCAGTATAAATTGGCTTATCCATACAGTTTTTATACAAATTAATAGTTAATACAACTATGTGAAACAATTTTAATCATATTTATTACTGTAATTTGATATGTTTACCATCTTTGAATAAATACTTATGCTTAAATATTCCAATATAATTGGGAGACTAACTTAGGTTATCTAATCCACTATCTAATATAATCTAATCCACTAAACTTGTAAACTATAATTATTTTACATAATATTAAAAATTCAATTATCTTTAACCATGCGCAAGTACTGCTAAATTCAAATTGAACCTATCATAAAACAACATAGATTTCATGTATTGAATATTAATATTATTTTTCGGTATATATTAAAAATAGAAACAATTGCTTAAACTAATTGCAACGATTTTACTGACCTAATAATCTAACTCTTTTATTTATAGCTGGGTGATAATAACGTTATCGGTTGTTGGAACAAGTCAGTGAGTAGATGTCGAGCAATGGCGGTGGTAGTTCTGCCACGTGGCACTATGTGCACGACTTTTTCATCCATTGCGACAGTGTTTGTTAGTTTTCTGGAAAAATTTTCAAAACTAGCACAGCAGTGGCGGCGCGGTGTCGGTGAGCAATTTGCGAGGCTCCGCGTTTCTATGTGTGCTTTCTCGTCTGATTATGAACGCGCTTGTGTGAGTGCACGTGAAGGTCGAATATTTGTCCCTACTCGTCGGTCTATTGGTTCAACATTCGCCGCTGTGATAATGAGCAATCGTGGTCTCCCTCACACTAGGAGCAAAACGAGCTTATGGAAAGGGACGGCCAGTGATGTGCGCGTACGTCGGAACCTCCGCCGGCGCCGGCGCGGCCTGCCCTCATCAGTCTCCCCGCGGCGGGGAAGCGATTCGCGCGTGCAACTTCGTGCTGATCGAGCTGCGGTTTTGACCGCCTCACTTCGCACACGAATATTTTTAGATAACAGTGCGGATAATTTATTCGCAAGGTAGTGATCGCGCGCTCTTTAGCGGATATCGGTATCGGCGCATGCGGGCTCGCGTGCGAAGCGGCGGCGCAGCTGCTACGGTCAGGCTCAGGCCGCCGTCGGCGAAGTCCCGATAGGTAAGCTGCGCACTTCCTGCGCGCGCGCCGCCATGTTCGGTCGGAACGTCACTTCCGTTGGGGCCGGAACCGCCGCAAGCTGTGCGGGCCCGAGCTGAGGGCCCTGCGGCACTGGGGCTGCGCACGCGCTGCCGCTGCTCGATGCGCTCTCAGTTCAATGAGCGACGGCTCTCGATTCATAAAATGTCGGTCGTCCCATTCACGCCGCAGCGCGATGCTACGTCGAACGTTCACTAGTGACCCTCGCGTCTTCGAATATTCATGTCTCCCTCGATAACATCGTAACCTCTGACTTCTTTTTGTATTATCACGTTGTTTAGTGAACGCCGCTAGCTGAGGCCAAATTTCGCGCGAAGTGGTGGAAACATAAGTTTAGTGTCCGTTCAACCACTGTATTATTTGTTCAACTGTGAAAATTTGGTGTGTGTGATAAAAATAGTGATTTACAATACTTATGATGGAGTGTACCATATTAGCGTAAGATTAGAGATATTTTATGCTTTATTTTCTGTTGCACATTTTTCATCTTATATTCTTAAAATTGAGAGTATGTTATCTTTTTTAAATATTATAACGTGCCATGAAAATTGAAATGTCTATTTTATAATGATAACAAACAATTCCACCGAATATTTCTATATTAATTAACGAATATTTATTATTTTTATTTCATTGAAATGTAAAAAATATTTACGGAAAATTAGTACTTTTAAAACCAACTCTTAATGGAACTTAAATAAATGTTTAATATGTGGGTAGTGATAACATAAGTTATAATAACATAATAAGTATAAGCCATTATAAGAAATGTTTGTCCTTTAACTGTAATAATTGACAACAACTTTGATTTACTTAACTTATCACATAAAGTTTTTTAAAATTGCAAATAAGGACAATCTTATCTCTCAAGTGGCAGTTAAAGCAATTGTTAAACTACCCGCCCTAATAATTACGAAAACTTTACTTTAGCATTTGGTTAAAAAAATAATTTGCTGAGTAATAATTCCAAATATAAATGCAATTTATTTTTTTAATATTTTTATAATTTGTCTATGTTGTTTAATTAAATCAAATGCCAAAACAGTAGTAGATAATAAATACTACTATAAGAGAAATAATAAATATAAAATCGATTGATAAATATATTGATAGAAATGCAATATATTTTATATAAATATCAATCAGATGTATGTTAATTATCAAATAGACATTTATATATACATAAAATATTAATTTTCAATAGTCATGACTTACAGAATACGCAAATATAATATTTATTTATAAAAGTATATAAAATAAGTACCATGACCAACGATTGATATACATTATAAAGATGATGGACAATATCTATCAGGTCTTGGGTGATAATATAAGTGAGTGATGATGAGTCAGGTGTATACGACGTCAGCGACACGTGTACCCTCGGCCAAGGCTGAGTCACAGCATCTCTGTGACGTAGTACTACTCGCCACACACATATCACACTGTGCGCCCTTTGCTCTCACAACCTAGGCTTTATCACATAATTATATCGTTCCATTACACGTATCACTATACTACAAAAATATAGCCCGAGTCGTGGACTATGAATTTGACATACTTCAGTGTTGACGCCTACAGCCATCAGTGAGTGCGAACAGTGCGCGTGTTGCTCCTTCCGGTGCAGCGCGGCGGCAGGCGTGGGCGCACATTTCATAAGCATTTCCTCCGTTGACTTCCTCCCACCGAGGGATATACTCTCTATAAGTGGTTCCTCACTCTTGCCTTTCTAGATATGGACGTCCGTAGAGGCATCTTTAACGTTAAAATAAATTGCAACACACGTACGGACAGCGTGTAGGACGATGCTTAGTGCGATATGCAAATATATGAACACTAAATTGGTAAGGCATTGTTGTATTCGCACTTATAGCTGCGACTGGTCGTCGTTCATGACCGTATTCAACTCATGCGACGCTTCCGTCCGTTATTTTCTATAATTAACTAATTATAAGATGTCTGTGTCCACCAGTCTCTTTAAGTCAGAAGATCATAATCATTACGTGCAGTGAAAACTGGCAGTAAATAAATTCGCACTTTGTGTGCCACGTTAGTATTTCTCAGAGCCACGATAACCTATTAAGGGTCCGTCCACAAAAAGCGATCATTATAAAAGCATATAAAGACTGCACCGGCGCCGAGCCTTCCCAGAACTGGGGCCATTCTTATTTCGCGCTCCCGCCTTATTCATGGCCTTTTTTTATACGGTTTTGGTTATTTTTTTTTTTCATGAGAGCGGTTCCCTTGTGAGAGTTCTAAGGAAATGGCTTATTGGGTTTCGTATTGGAGCCGGGGCTTATCTCGGGGAGCCGATCAGCTCGGTGCGACCGGACCTGGGAATGCGCGTCACATTCCGCGCGCATGCACCGTTACACAACCAACAAACGCATACCGACCGTACATGCCATCGTGTTTATAACTTATCACATCAACATTAACTATCTGATTCATTTTAACGCAGATGATGCTCCGTAGATGCAGTTCACATTATTTTTGCTAATATTACTCAATATTATTCAATGTTTATGATATAATATATAATGATTGTATATATTACGCAAGATTTGAAAGACTTTAAATATGTCATACGAACTAAATCAAGGGTTTAATTAATTGTTAATTAATGGTTGATTATAAGAATATAATATATCTATTATAAAACGTAAGTAGGTCTAGTAGTGTGATTTTTAACGATATGTTAAATTCACATTTGTTTTATAATTTTTGATATTGGAAACAGGAACGTTGTAATTAGTTATTTTCACGTTATATGTAGTTAAGTAAGTACTATAAAACCTGAACTACGGTCACTCCTCCGATTTTCCAATTAACCACCTTATTTCCATAATTTACCCAAAAATTTAATTTTTACCGTAGACTAATCTAAGGGATATTTTTTTGTAACAGCCACACTGAATCCTAGATTTGTCTCTTCTATTTTTTAAATTATACTAACGGAATTTTACCCTTGAAATTTTAACGTATTAACGTTAGTGGCGAATATTGCTAGCCGACAAAATAACAATGCTTTAATATTCACAAGACTGCTGTATGTCACTAAACGAATGTTATTACACGTATTACCTTCACATTTAAATGATCAGAAGAGACAACACGTTGGCAAACAGCCAAAACGCAGACCATTATTATCATATTTTTATTTTATATTGACGACTTTCAAAAATCTGGTCTGATTTTACAATGTTTTCTTGGCCGTGTACAGAAGCAGTTATTAAGAACTCAACAGTATCGATTTATGCATAAAACATATATTTTTGCAAATGGCAACATTTCAAAGGGAAATTATACCAAATGTTAGTTCCCACAGAATATAACAAATATTATTCATTAATTGTCATAGATTTTTTAATAATATTTCGTGCCAATTGTATTTGGTAATTTTATTAATAAAAAGATTGCTGTTAAGATGAAATTTTCTTACATTTTCAGGTGCGGGAATTATTTGCGGAAAACTACGAGATTGCGACTAACAGCAAAAGATGGATAAGTCATTATTTGGTATGTATTTATTTATTCATAATATATCCGTATACAATTAAATATAAAAAAAAAATTATAGAGTAAGCTGATCGAATCGCAAAACGGGATATGTTGTCGATTATATGGATATTGCGTGGTATTTCGTTGTTTAGTAAATGTGTACACAGGTCACGGCCCTTATCCAGGGCAAAGGGAAGCTATAAATCTGTCGGCGCGAACAATAGCGCGATAAGGTGCACCTTGCGCCTATGTCGCGATAGTGGCGCCCTCGCGGCCCCTTCCAACGTTGCTTAGAAACGTTTGCACTGCGCTGATGTTTCCTTAGTTACTATTACTTTAACGATATACTTATCACTATTATTTCGGTTTAATATTAATTTGAATTGAAATATATTATTGCCACCATTTGATACACATTGCGACAGTTCCGCAATACAAACATTGAATTTTCAATTTTTTAATATTGAAAATTGCATTTTCTAGCGGTATTAATATAATAAGGAAAATCCTTTTTTATTCAAAACGACCTCTTTTCTTAATTTTGGATGTTTAATGTACAACTGTACCCAAATAAAGACTCTTTTTAAAAGAATTTAGAATTAGATAGAAAAAATCAAACTCAGAGTTTTCCATGAAAACTTGGTTTTGTTCTTGATCAACCTGAAACAATATATTAAAACTGACATAGTGTTAACATGAAATGGCATTTACAATATTTTATTTTGAAATTGGATAATTCTGGAAAAAGAGCTTTATAAATTACGAAATTTCGTGCCATCTTATGAACATGACACATTTCGATTGATAGTTTAGTTGGAAATATGAGGTGAGGGGAGAAACAGAGGTCGGCATAGCGCAATCCTTATCAGTCATTGACCTTCGCACCTAAACTGAGCCTCACATCTCGTTCATTGCGCGCTTATATACAATTTTAAAATACTGAAATATATAAAAAATTAAACGGATTTCAATGTTTGTACTCATAAAATTTGTGTCCTGTTCAAAGCTTTTAAACTAGAGTACGTACGCCAGCCTTCGAAATATTTCTCAACTAGTACCTATGTAAGCAGAGACACGATCGCGATATCCCATTTGTCTGACAATGTTACATAATCTAGCTGTTTTCCCACGACTTCCCGTAGGTGAAAGAATTTTAATGAACATAATAACAAAATTACAAACTTTATGTTTTTTATAATATAAGTATAGATTTCATTACTTTCAGTATCTTTCCATATTGGAGTTTAATTGACTCTTATATCTTTTTAATAGTTATTGTGTATAATAGCTTAATAGATTCGGAAGCAAATTTTCACAAGGCTGGTTACAGGATCTAAAATTTACTATCTAGAGCTCCTCCTTCGGAAGGTACGTTAGTCGTTATTTCCGGCTGCATCTGCAGTCGTTAATACCAATGCGAATGACATTGGGCCCAAGTTGTCATAGTCCTCATCGATTTGATACGATGCCATACATTAAAAGGCCTGTGCCCGAACAGAGGGAACATTAATAGATCGCTGATAATAGCCCTATCGCCGTGTTTCCAATAATATCAGATTTCACGAGCATGTGTTGTGTTTCATGGACGAATTAATTTTTTCACCGACTGTTGAAAAAAGGTCAAAAATTAATTCACACGCGAAACAAACGAAGTAAGACTTATTTTTGCAGCGCGGACAATAACAAATTCGGAGATATAGCGCCCTACAGATGAACGTTACCAATAGATTTTTTTCTGAATAGAAATAATTTGTAAGACTTTTTATGTCATAAAGCAAAATGTTAAGTTTTAATTCATATGATGATAATTGATAACACACTGATATATAATAATAACCAAACAAAGCTTAAAGCGTCTAGTTTAGAGCGGGTGAAGAATCAAATTGATAGACTATACGAATAATTTTAATAATCTTTAATTATATAGGTATTATAATATTATAATATTATATACGTAATTAACTTTTTTGGAGAGATCATGAGTAAATTAATTACGAAAGATGACAGTTGAAAAGTAAAGCAACTATCAGTTGTAGAACAACTCATAGGTATAATCCTAATTTAAAGCCACGTCACTAACTAATTTACGCTGAAGGACTTTTCTGCATTCTTACTAAAAGTGTTAGAATAAAATCTACAACGTCAAGTAAAATAGTCAAAGGGATCGTTTTAGAATTACACCATCAATCATGATCTTTTAAAACTCACAATATGGTATGAAAGGATAAAGCTTGACAATATTTTTATTTTACTATAATTCATTTTTTTAAAGTCGTAATTACCTACTTAGTAAGGCGTAATCTTAGTAGCAATTCTGTTACATAAACTACACAAAATTAGTTTTGATTCTGTAAACAACTAGCATACCTAACACAAGCATACAAAAGTATAATTATATTTCTTAGAATATGTCGTGTCGTTTTGTATTTATTTTGTCCGATATGTATTTATATGTACATTTGACTACAGCAGAATAAAGTTAAAATAATTCCTAATTAAAATTAGATTTTTTTTTAGTATAGAGAATGATTTGTACAGCAAAAATGGCACCGTTAAAATTGGAAATTCATAAATATAATTTGGGCCTTAAAATGAGGTTGAGATCTGGACGACAGATAGGCGCCGCAGGGACCTTGACCTGTATCCCGCGCGACGGGCGGCGCACGACCACAATGGACTATTCCGCGACATCGGACCCTCGCTGCCCTCCCCTCTCCTTCCCTCCCACCTGACATCTATAGTCGTCATCATTTACACAATCCTATTACTACTTACTTATGTCGAGCATTAAAAGACGGCATTCAAGGTTTTGTTAAGCAGGATTCAATAAAATATAATTATCTTGCTTTTGGCAAATAGCCATTGACCTTCATATCGAAGCGAGCACATCGGTTACAAGGTGTCGCCATCTCCGGGTTCTATTCCCGACCGTGGTAAAAACTTTTTGTCACGGATCTTGTTGTTAGTAGTGCCCTAATTATTTGTGATTACACAAGTACTTCAGCTAATCTTGAAATGAAACTCTCAATGATCAGTTACGATTTTGATTTAAATAATCAGGTTTCATTATGGCCTTATAGGTAAGGAATGTTGACAAATTCATTCCATGATCAGCATGAATCTCACATCGATATGCAATACGACACATCGCAGTCGGTCACGCCGTGTAATTAGACGAGCTAACAAAATTCGGGGGGCGGCGCGGGTCGCGATGAATAAAACATGGCGGTGCGCGCTGGCGCCGCCGCAGCGCGCGCGCACCCAGCTCAGGGCTGTCTGCACACTGCCCTTATTGTTCAACATTGTTATAACAAATAAAGCTTCAATAACACTTAACTAAATGAGTTTTGCGATAATTCAACTTCTACACAGTTTAGAAGTTCAAAATCAAAAGTATTTGACGATTTTTTTAAATGTCCTTGATTTAACAATTCGACTGTCTGATATCTATATATTTAATGAACTTACATTCGATTTAATATAATATATATAGCTTAAATATGTTGAAAAATTCTGTCAAATAATAGCTAGTGTTATAACTTTTGTTACACTGATGATTTATTAGTAGAGTATTAGTACAAAACGAGTCTTGGTGTCTGACAGCCCTAAGCACCTAGAACAATAGCCGGTATCTAGGTCTGAAGCGACGCCCTGAAATAGCCCACGACGCCCGCTGCCGCTAGATAACGTGCTGTACTCTCACCACTTTAAACATCGAACTCGGTGACAATTTTTTTTTTAATTATTATATTTCATATATTATTGAACATTCGTCTTGCATTGCCATAAATTGTTAAGAACGGATATTAACGCTTCTAGAACTAATAGGTAGGCTTTCCAAATCTTAACTTAACCTTAGTTTTAATCGCGTTCTTTTCAATTTAGTATGCTTTATTTTCAGAAAGTAGGTATAATTTAATGAGAATAGACCCATTGCAAAAGCCAAAGGAAGTCCTGAATAGAAGATAAAGAGTATATGAAAAAAATATTAAATGCTATCAACATCGAACAGTCTTCAATTTGATTTTAAAGCTCTAACATTTGTGTCCAGGGTAATACGAACGTGAAAGTATTGGATATAAATTAAATAAAATTGACGGAAAAACGGAAAATATAAAAATAATTGTGCTTTCTTTCTAAGAAATATGGCAGGAAAATGTAGAGTCGCTATTTTAAAATAAAAAGCGAATTACATATTTTCTTATTTTTTATTGATTTTACATACTATTCATTTCTATTAATTAATATCTCAAATAAAAATGCTTTAAAAAGTCACCAATTGGAATTAGATGGGACGCGTACTGGGGCTGGGACTTTTATTTATACTCACAAAACAAGGGACACGTATTTTCAAGCATTTTTTCTTAATGGTATTTGTCCACATATCCACAGATTTACTGACTGTAATCCTGTGGATATTCGTAATTTGAATAAGTATCGTATCGTTTAAAAAGAAAGCTGTAAAATTTAAGTTATTTATTTGAATTAAAATGTTTGATTAGAAAAAATGGTAAAAGTAATTTAGGAAAAGCCAATTACTATAGAAAGTGACTATAGAAATTAAGTATGTAATTCATTTCATATAATAAATTGTTTGTATACTATTTAATACCACGATATCGTCGAATATCTAATAAATAGTT